ATACTTTCTTCGGTAGACCATTCAGATGGAGATCATATGCAAAGACTTCAGCATTCACTTATCTTTGCAAAGCTTTCGAAACTCACTCCAATTTATCGAATAATGTGAATAGAATTGTAAGTGGTAACAGGTACACAAAGTTCAGCACTTCAAATAAAATTGCTTCCCATGAGATTTTCAAAAAAAATCGCGTCAATTCTATTAAAAGGAGGGGTAAAATGTTGTTTCCTATTTGGTACTCCATTTCTCAGTCAAGAATTTCTGACATACTTAAAAAGGAAAAGAGTTGGGAGAACTAAAGAAGCTTGCTGAACAGAATAAAGTGCCTCAGAATTCAAATGATACTTGGGCCAAAGTTCAATAAGTTCCGATTAAGATATTTTAGAATAAAATTGCAGGATCTTTGCATCGACCTACGAATACCAATCTTTGATTAATATACGCAGACATTATTTTAACAATTTGTTCATGAGCGTCAGGAAGGTTAAAGAATGTATTGTAGATATCAAAGAATTTCAACAAACTCTTAATCTTCTCCTACATTGATTTAGTCTTAAAGCATGCATCAGTCCATAAACGAACCCTTAGTCATTAATAAATTTCCAGTACTCAGCATTATAAATGCATCTCTCACCCTCGATTTCTGCGCTTCCCTTGCAAATTTTGTAATCAGCATAGCGCAAGTGTCACTTCCAGCACGCACCGCCATTTCCAATGCGGTCAAGCCCTCTTCGTTCCTCATATCCAAAATCTATCAGAAATTCACATATTCATAATGTTGGTTCAATGACTGAAATCTGATGGGCACCTGCCAAAGAGTACCACGCTCGACAGCCATAATGAGAATCCCCTTAACGTGAAGAATCCGATTTTCTGCTGCAGCCAACATAAGCGCAGAGTTTCCTCGTGCGTCTTGCCAGGTGATGTCAAGAAATGCCTGAAAATGTAACGAAAAATCAAAAGAGAAGAAGAACAGCAGAAGCGCTACGTCAAATCTACCAGTGAGCTGTATAGGTAATAAAAAGTAAGATTTTCTTGATTCTTACTTCTATTCTGTGTACAATGCTATGCATATACATACACCCACTTGCCAAGCTGAAGATTGATACTCTCGCTAAACCTATATTGAACAACACATTTAAGTTGAATTCGAGTTTTTGTTGCAGTCCAATAATCTCTTTGATGTTGATGTTGAAGTTTTTCTTTCAGTTATGCTAGACAGAACTGCCAGCAACAAATCGCAATTTCGTTTAAGTTGATTGCAGAAAACAATAATTATCACTGTAGATAATTTAGTAGAATGAGCAGTGTAGCCTGCTGTTCTTAGGGCTCTTAGAGGTACTTATCGGCTTATGAGTTAGAATTTGGTTAAGTTTTGAAACAACTCCTTTTCTCTTCCGTAAATCAAGTCGTTTCATTGTTCAAAGAACACTTGATAGGCTAAGGGTAGGTCCTTTTTTGGACATTTTTGGAAAAAAGAACATATTTACAAACTTTTGATGCGTATTCGTGATGAATAAAATTGCATCTTAGCTTCATAAATGCCAATCGTTCGGAATTCAAAGAAACCCTAATCTGCTGCAATTCCCCACCATCATTCCCACTTTTCAGAAAGCTCTTGACTAGTATCAAGAAGAGATTCTATTGTCAAATCA